AACAAAGGACAGTCACTAGATGCTTTCATAGAGCAGAACTTCAAGCTTGTCGCCCAAGGAAAACTCCCTTGCTTAAGACTAAACCCCTAAAATGCAGATTATCTTATGCTAGAAGCCATCTGGAACATGGAAGTAAATACTGAACTCTCTTTTATGGTCAGATGAAAACAAACTAGAATCATTTGGTCACATGAACTCCTATTATGTCTGGAGGAAATTAAATGAAGATTACAAACCAAAAAATACCCTCCTTATAAGTAAGTATGGTGGTGAGAGTATTCTGCTCTGGAAATGTTTTGCAGGACCAGGAGAACAAGTGAGAGGATAGGGTATCATGAATGAAGAGCAGTAATTTGGTTATTCTTAAAAATAATATAAAACAAAGCTGTCTTTGGGGTGTCACTGGATGTTCCAACATGAGAATGACCTGAGACACTTGGCATGAATTCTTACAAAATACTTAGGTGACAGCAAAATTAAGATATTGGCATACCCTGCAGAAAGTCCTAAACTAAACCCCATTGAAAATGAGCATATTTAAAAAAAAAAATGTAAGAGAAAGAAGTCCTTTGAATTTCAAGAAACTAGAAGCTATTGCCAAGGAAGAATGGAGCAAAATACCTGTCAGTGTGTGTAGTGATCTTGTAAGGAACTAACAAAAATGATTAAAGGCAATAATCAAGAATAAATGTTACAAAATTGATTATTGAGGCAAGAGGGCCAATGATTGTTTTCCTATGTTTTATTTTTTATGTATTATTGTTTGATATTAAAATAAAGATTTTGTTGTTGTCATCACTTCACATTCTTTCAAATCCATTACTTCATTATTTGTGAAAAAATGCACATGAAATTTTCATGAAGATTTGAATTATTACAGCTTTATTTGCAATTATGGAAAAGGAGAATAATTCTGTCCATAATTATATATATATATATATATATATATATATATATGTGTGTGTGTGTGTGTATGTATGAATTCATTTTAACTTAATTTGCTTATGTGGCACCTTGCATTATTAGAAATATTCATAGAAATATGATTTAATTTTTTTTCTTACTCGTTACTAAACAGGTTGTTGATTTTTTTTAAAAACGGAAAATAACTGAGTTGAAAATAATTCACTAAGATTGTACTAGACGATCTTAAGGGAAGAAGAAGGAAAAAAAAAAAAAAGAAAAGAAAGAAGAAGAGAGAAAAAGAGTTGTATGATGCATGACCCAATTGAGGGTGGAGATAGGAGTCAGAAAGAGATTTAGGTCAGCGTCTTGGCCGATTTTTTCGAAAGACAATTGGAAGAATAAATTAGCAATAATAAAAAGAAAAGAAAGGGAAAAGACATGATATCAAACGGACGCTGATGTAGACCAGATATCGTCAAAGCATCTGACCCGACTTTTTGCGTGGAGAGACTCCTTATCAATTTGGTTTAGAACAATAGAAATGAAATTTTTAATCAGAGAAAAAGTGTCTTTGGGTTGAGGGGAGTGACCGGTGGAGCGATATACAGATCCTGAACTGTTAAGAATTGGACACCCACGTTAATAAAGTGGAGACATTTTCAAAGTAGATAATTAAGATTTTCGACTATCAGGAAAAACAAAGAGGTAAAAAGAGGGACAATTGCTTTTGGCTCACAGAGGGCGCCAAGAAGGCGGAAAAGATCCTTTCTGAAGTCAAGTCTAATTAGCGCAGGGCTGTTTGACAAAGTCCAGGTGAGAGAAAGCCAAGATTGTCATAACGTGCAAAAAAAAAAGGCAAAAGTGGATTTTGTTTTTTTAAAACAAGAACGATGTAACCAGCAACAAGAGGAGAAAGGATGTTCGATCAATAACAATTGGTCGGAGATGGTTTCGGAAGAGAAGGAAAAGAAATGCCCGATCAGGAACCATTGGTTAAAAGCGGTCACCTGACATACGAGAGACTAAGAGAGATGGATGTGCCCCACCAAAGGTACTGTGAGGAAGTAGGGGTGAAAAACAATAGCGATAATGAGAAGACAGAATTAATGCAGCTTTTGGAATTATCGAGAAAACCCTTAGCGTCAATATAAGCAGGACCCCAGTCGACAGAAATCAGTTGAGTTGGAGTTGCAGTTGGAGTTGAGAGTTGGACCCGGGCAGGATGGAGCCTGAACGCCGCCATGATTCACTACCCCTTTGCGGGCAGAAGAATCAGACAAGAAATCCTTCCAGCCCAAGTCGAAGACAGGAGAACTTCCAGCCCAAGTAGACGAAGAAGAAGATTGCCTGAAAGCCTGAGAAGAATTGGAGATGCAGACAAGTCGAAAGTCGATGAGAAGTTAAAGTTCAGCCCGGACGGCCGCGTAGAAGAGATCACCTCGGATTACAGAGAGCTTTGCGGCAAGAGATCCTTCCAGCCCAAGTCGAAGACAAGAACTTCCAGCCTAAGTCGACGAAGAAGAAGAAATACAACCCAAGTCGAAGACAAGAGAACTTCCAGCCTAAGTCGATTTAAGAAGAAGAATACAACCCAAGTCGAAGACAAGAGAACTTCCAGCCCAATTCGAAGACAAGAGAACTTCCAGCCTAAGTACGAAGAAGAAGAAATACAACTCAAGTCAAGAGAAGAATCAACATGATCGATAGAAATTAGCCCCAGTGTACCCCGACATACACAATTCTAAAGAGTAGGCAATTCGAAATCTTTATGATAGAAGCTGTAGTAGCGGGTTGGGAAATGAGAACAATTTTGTTTTTTATAACGGACATTAAGATATAAAAGGTTGTTACCCATTTTTTTTTATCAGCAATCTTTTTTGTCTCGTGAGTTTATTTTCTCTTTTATTTGTGTTTTGCCACCCCGTGCCGGACTCAACTTGTGTGCCCCAATCCCTGCTGGTGCCTCTGTCTAAGATCTGTAGACAGATGTACAGTTGCTTTAGTGACCAGGTATTCATTTTTAACGCTTGGACCCAGGAGGAGCGACCTGGCGCCAGAACTAAAAGGATCCGACCCTGGGCCATTTCACACTTATTTATTCAATCTAAGTAAATAATAAAATATAAACTATGACTGAACACAAACACAAGTACATATAAGAATAATCAACAATAAATAATGAGTAAAAAGTTAACAAATAACATTATAAAATATCTACAAATAACTACATTCAAATGCACAATTATTTTTACTCAATAGCCTCTAGAATAATTTAAAACATAATTGTTACTACTCATCCAATAACTCTCATAATACAATAGACATTACTACCCATAATGCACTACTGATCAGCATATATAGTTGAACCAAAAAACAACGCACATGACCTGAAGATTGTGTTGAAACATGAAACAGTCACCTTTAAATGAAAACCCACTTTTAGTACAGTCGATGATAGCTCATTTTGCTTGCCCCCCACCATGTTTTCATCACATATCAGAATTTTTTTCAAAAAGAATATTTAGCTAACAAAGCCCACAAAATTCTGATCCAGCAGGATTTTCACTTGCATGGAAATCAGACCAGCATAAACCACAGAAGCAAATGATTTTCATAATTTGATTTTAATATTTTCAGTGTATTGACTACCTTCGGGCATCTTCATTAGATCACTATCAACCCCAAATGGTCTACCTGTCCTTGAAGTATTGTTCAAAGAGAAATCTCCAGCATGGTACTTTGCAAACAACTTCTGATACATCTAATCATTCACAGTCTGTTATGTGCCATATACTTTCAGGCAGTGGGGGATCATGGCTCTCCACTACTCTCTTTTCTTTGTTGCTCTAAGTAACTTTAAGCCCTCTATCAACCCTATTTGTTCTGAAATCCATTCACACATACTCATTAAGTAGATTGTTACCCCCTGCTTCTCTTGCCTTCACTATATCCGGTGAGTGTTAAATTCCCCAAGCCCCCATTCCTCATTATGTGTTCCATAAATTTCAACTGTTTCTAAGTGTTGTTTTTGTTTTCATTTTCCGTAAAACTTCCTTGTTGTTTACACACTCTGCCCATAATATTCTCACTATTCTTTTATCTCATATTCACCATCATATAAGAGATTAGATGTTAAATAGCAGTTCAGCATTCTCTTTGTTGGTAACAAAATTTTCTTACCATATAATACATTGCTTAGTTTCTGAAAAGCATCTTTTGCGAGAACCCTTTGGATTTCCATATCAAATATTTTGTAGTCTGTCACTACACTCCCCAGACAGTTGAATTTCTTCACCTGCCTGATTTTAACATCTCCAATTCATTGCTCATGCACCAGGATGCTGACAGCCAGGCATTCTATTTTTATTTGTTTGATAATTGCCTTCTGATACTCACAGGACAGATTGAGAGACAGAGGAAAGCAGCATGTAACATAACAGATGGACTTGGGCAAATGGACGGCAGAACAGGCTTTGGGAGAAATAACAAAAAAAACAAACCTTATTAAGAGCTATAAGGGACAGGAAGATGTGGAGAGCCATGATCGCCTACATCTTGAAGGGACACAGCACATAACAGAAGATTTTTTTATCCACAGTATTCTTTCCCATAAATTGCACAAATCTTTTTTGCATTTTTATTTTTCTCAAAATAAAAAGCATAATATTCTGAAAAGTTTAATTTTTTCGTCTTCAATATGACAAGTGAGAAACAGTTTTGACAAGTATACAATTCTCCCCACTCCCCAGAACAGATACAGTAAATATCACTTTCTTTGGTAAGTATGATAATGTATACAACAAGCCTAACTGCTTTAGATTGATCGATTTGTTTTTTTTATGGCTTATCAACCTTTCACAAGTTATTTAAAACCAGAAAATTTTTGAATTGTAAGAATATTTTTTGAGATAATAATGGTTTAGTGCTACAAGTCTTACTAATTAACCTATACCTGGAGAGAGAAAAGGTGGAGTCATATCTTTCCCAAGAGTATTTGTGTATAAATGAATATAACAAACCAAATGGGAATTGGAAGTCAACACTCCGTCTGACAATTCTGAGCCATTATCCATTACATCACTTGCACATCCAAGCTTACAGCACCTGGTATTCCAGGTAGTCACCCATCAAGTTACTGATCAGGCTCAATGTTGCTTAACTTCAGTGATCATACAGGAATTGGTGTTTTAACTTTGTATCAGAAATCATAATATATTTCAGTTATATATAAGAATAAAATATATATTTTGGGGGTTTGTTTACGTGAAAGGATACAAAGATTTTTCTAATATTCAATTTTGACTGGCTATTCTTCAAAATCTTAACATATAATATTTGAAATTTTCAAAGACACAAACTCTAATACTGCTAATCTGTGTAATCGGATGCACTGCTAAGCATTGATAATGCACAGTGCATATTTCCCATTTCCCTCGAAAATTAAATTCCGTTTCCATGATTACAAATGTTGTTTAAATCAGAAATGAAGCTTAAAATAATAAAATAGTTAGCAATTTATTTCAATAAACTTAATTCAATCATAAATGAAGGTTAAATTATCATATGATAATAAATAAAATTGCATTTAAATCCTGCACATTTAAATGACTATCCTGTTTTCAATAAACTCGGAATAATTTCTACACCGAGGTTGCAAAGCAATGACAGAATTAATTATAAAGAGACTAAAGGTGAACTATGTATGCAAATGTATGTGAATTTATGTGGTTATTTAAGGTTCAGAAATATTCAATGACATTCATGTACTAAGGTTAAGACACTTAGCATTTAGTAAAATCCAACTAAAACAGAAAATAGTTTCCCTAGTCTCTGTAACATAATGTCCTGTAATCCACTACAGTTGCAGGGATACCACATGTACTGCAGCCATAACAGCAGTGGTATGGTTAGGGAAAGATAACTTGATGCAGCTCATCTCTTTTCAGGCTGGTTTTGAATTCAAAGTTTTCCTTTTCTCATACAGTTATCCCTTCTATTTAACCCATAATTGGGGGTAGGGAAATGGGACAAATTCATACCTTTTCCAAAGGTATTTGTATGAACATGAGTATAGCTGGAATTCAAATTTGACTTGGTGATTTCTCTTTCCAAATTGGTAACCATTATACCACCCACATATCCATCTCTGTACCTTCTAGAAAAAAATTCTGGTCGGGGTTAAAAATGATTAAAATTACAGTCTTCAACTAGATTAAATAAAACTATATTCTATATCAATTCCTCATTAATTCTGAAACATGAACTTTTAATGGTAATGGCATCTGATATTTAGATTTGTATGTAATCTGAAGTGAATAACAAAAAAGAATTCCTGATTCACTATTGAGGATGCAGGTCAATGTCAAGAAGACAAAGAGACTCATCCAGCCAGCCCCTGGACAAGCAACACCAAACATCAGCATCAACATTGATGGATAGCTGCTAGAAGTTGTCAATGAATTTCCCTACCTTGGCAACATCATTTCAAATAATGTCACCTGCAAGAGAGACCTTGACAACAGGATCAAAGCAACTCATACTGTGTACAAAACACTCTCACATTAGGTCTTCAGCAATCATGTCGTCAACATGAAAACCAAAATCATGATCTTCCAGGTTGTGGCCCTCTCCACTCTTCTTACGAAGCCTGAACTTTGTATCGTCAGGATATCAAACATCTAGAATGGTTCCAGCAAATAAAGCTCCAAAGTATCATTTGCATCATTTGGAAGGACCGCATCACTAACAACAAGTCCTTCTCTTGGACATCTTTCTCCAGCATCGAGGCTACCATCCTTCAACATTGCCTCCACTTGGAAACTGTTGCTGCAAATTGGCCTTTCTGGCAGAGGACCATCTGAGTGGGGACCAAAACTTTTGAGTCCAACTGTCAACATGAAGAGATACTGTGACATACTGTCAGGAGAGCCAGACTCACCCAGTGGTGTCCATCACCCACACTCATCTGTGACTCCTGCTCACAACTCTACATGAGGGGAGAAAGGGAATAAGGACAGAGAAAAACAATCCAGATGTGAGCGGGTGTCAATGATGATGTTGACTGATTCTATATTTTTTCAGGAATTGTTTCCAACCTAAAAATTTCAACAGTTTGAGATATTGTTGTTATTGTTAAAGCCAAATAAAATTAAATAATGCATGAACAAAGATGTATTTTTGATCTTCTATTATACAATCTTTTAAAAAAAAGAAACCGAGTTAGTTAAAATCTGAATATGAACAATTTATGGATATGGGATTGTTCTTATTCCACTGTTCATGTCTATGGATATTTTGTCTTGTACTTTTCAGTATTGCTCTGTTATTGGTCACATTATTTCAACCGATTCACAGTCTATTAACCAGCCCATGGATTGAACTCACAATTGCTATGGAATCAAATTGATAAACCAATGCTTTAATCCACTAAGCTATTGTTCCAAGGGAAAGATTGTATTGAATTACTCTTAAGTGAGAGAGTGCTTAAGTAGAAAAACCAGCTTTTAAAATCTTGATAGACAGGAATATACAACTATTTCAGCCACCAAACAGGCAAGATCTAATGTTAAACAAATCAGACATTACTAGAGTATATAATTGGATAAATGAAAAATCTACATTTGCAATTCTAATTTACTTTCAGTTATGTATTCATTTTTTTCTTTTTAAAAAGATTTAAATTCTCTATTTTCAAATAGACAGGTTTTCATTGTAAAGATTATGAAACTATACATAAACTACAGGGAATAATTGAATCTTTTCAACAGGACTATTCAGAGGTTCATAAAGTGCTACAGAAAATATGAGAATAGGCAGTTTCAATGGTGATGCTATAAGCAGTTCAATTGTGGCTTAAACAAGAACAGGTTTCCATAACAACAAAGAATGACTGAACAGCCAAATAGGAGGTGTAAACTTTATCAGAACATCAATCTCAATTTAAAGAAAAAAGTTTAGAAGAAGCTTGTCACAGAAATATCCTGGGTATATTGATAGAAGCAGACACTGGAAGCTTTATTGCAAGAAATGAAAGCATGGTTTCCAGGGGTGGGCGATAGAAGCAAAGTGTTAGCACACTGAAGCAGCTGCAGCTGACAGAATGCCCAATCTATTAACCAAGAATTTAAGCCATTTTTAGGAGTAAAATGAGTTTCATTTAGCTTAGGAACACAAGGGCTAAAGGCTAATAGAAAACAAATATTGCTTTCACAAGTCTTCCTTTTAATATTTGTTTTATTTGGGTGGATTAGAAAACATTGAAACCTGTTCATAGTTGCAATTACACATTCCAAAAGACATTTATATTGCATACATCAGATTTTGCAGTATTAAGCTACTACTTACAGCAAGTTGGTATTAATTCTATTTAAAGGATCAGTCAACTAGGTTTATAATAAACAAGTAGTTTTCTATGGGATTTTCTTTTTTGCTATTGTTCACACAATACAAGGGCCAAGAGACACTCAAGGTAGAGAGTTTCTAAATGAGATTGTTGTAAGGGTGTATAAGGAGTGAGCAAGAGGTGCATACTATGGGGATATATAAGATAGATAAAGGTTAAGACCGTAGTGATCAAAAAAACACCCTCTTGGAAGTCTGTTCCATAATGCATTCTATTGGCATTTATTGACTGAGCAGCCAGTGATTCATTTAATTAAAATTTATAAAATCTATCTCTTAAAACAATTTTTCAGGAAAATAGGTTTCTCAAAGTAGCCATTACTGTTCTTTCCAGTTTTGATGGGAGTTTCCTTCCTAATCTTTTATTTGAAGTAGTGTGGAATGTCAACATCTTGATTATATCATTATTTTCTCAAGTTACATATGATATCCATTTTAGCTATTGAAAATCCTCAAGTGATGTGATTTCTGGTTCAATACAGCTGACAGTTTGGAGATATTTTTTAATCAATTTGGTGCCATGCATGACATTCCATATGAACATTTTGATCTGACTAGACTATTTAAGAACATGACTTGAGTTTTCAGGTTAATGTTTTAGTTTTGTAGCAATCTGTAGTGTTGGGTGAAACTAATTATAACAAAGAAAATGGCAAATTACCTCGTCAAACCAAGCGACAGCATGTCATGTATATCCTACAATGGAAAATGTGGTGAAAAAGAAAGTTACTTGCCAAAAAAAAGGGCACATATTCTGCATGATATGCTGAAGATGGAATATTTAAATTAGAAACAAGTCAGTCGCAGGAGTCGCCATAAAAGTATGCTAATATTGGGCATCCTCTCCCAGTTGTTGACGAATGGAAAAAATGCTTGGCTGATAAAAGCAGTTGGTGTTCTCGAATTGGGGAGAATGTGAGAAAATTCATGTGTTGGCTACCGCATTCATCGGGGAATGAATTATTTTTCTGACTGGTTATGTGCATTGTGATATGTGACATTTGACCTGCAAATCAAGATTTTGGCATTTCTTTCTGCACCTGATATTTGAGTCTGATTTGTTCCCTACAATGTGGAAGTAATCAAATATTTCCTTTGCAATCCCAGAACCCTTACATTACATAGACTATATTATTTTTAATTTCCTTTTCTCCTATACTAAATTTGTTATAACTGATCAATACACCAAGGTATTTAAAGTATTTAATATTTACTAATTCTACATCCTGAATTTTTCTGATGGATTCAGGTTATATGCCATCACTATTTTCATTTTATTTCTAGATCATTGTTTCTGTATTGGAAAGGTTTATTTTGGGTCCTATTTCTTGGAATAGTATGTAGAGAATGTTGATTTTTAACATGATAACAACAAGTAATAGGTATGCTTCATAGCTAATGTTATTAATTCATTGATGTTATTCAAGAATTATCAAAGGAAAGTTTTCTTTTTGTAAAGAATGTAAATAACTTCTATTTAAGTATGGCTTTGGTTTACAGTCTGTAATGATCTATTCTATTCAAAAATAGAAAAAGCATTAAATTTTCATAAAATACCAAAATAAAAATGTGAGAGGATAGCATTCAATCAGTTATAAAATATACAATCTTATATGCAACTGAAGTTAATATTACTGGCTGCACAATAAATATTTTTCATGTAAAATTTCTTACTTATGATAATGTAATGATGTGGTTATAGATATCAATTAAGTAGTGGCACAAAGTAAGGATTAGCAATTTTTTTTAAATGCTATTAAACTACTTTATTCCTTCTATGTTATTATCTAT